TTACTTTTGTATATCAATGCAATTTTTCAGCCTTCTTCGACAATGCAGAACTTTTTCTATGGTGAAAAAATTATGCTAACAGGGGTTCCAAATATTTTTTCAGAAGGAATTTTTGTGTTGGCATAGGATACCAATACTCAAACAATATAAACAAAAGCAGCTGAACATTGTCTTTGTAAGCACAGGAATTTCCACAGCAGGGTTTTTGCTGACCCACTGATGAAAATGAAAGATAATAGTTTGTCACAATCAAAAGCAATGTGCTTGTCACAGTAAAACATTGAATTGGAATCTGGCTAAATATAGGTTTAACAGCATAGTTTTAGGGAAAATTTACAACTGCTTCGATGATAAGATCACCCGTATGGTGGACCAAGGGAAACCAGCTGATGTGATTTTTTTGGACTTCAGCAAGGCTTTTGACACGGTTTCCCATAGGATCCTACTGGACAAAATGTCCAGCATACAGCTAAATAAAAACATCATACGATGGGTGAGCAATTGGCTAACGGGCAGGGCCCAAAGGGTTATGGTAAATGGGGATGCGTCAGGCTGGCGGGCGGTCACCAGTGGGGTCCCTCAAGGCTCCATTTTAGGGCCGGTACTTTTCAATATTTTTATAAACGATCTGGATGTAGGAATAGAAGGCATTTTGAGCAAGTTTGCTGATGACACCAAACTTGGAGGAGTTGTGGACTCGAATGAGGGTGGAAAGGCCTTGCAGAGGGATCTGGATAGGTTGGAGAGCTGGGCGATCGCCAACCGCATGAAGTTCAATAAGAGCAAGTGCCGGGTCCTGCACCTGGGACGGGGAAACCCTGGCTGCACGTACAGACTGGGTGATGAGACGCTGGAGAGCAGCCTAGAAGAGAGGGATCTGGGGGTCATGGTAGACAGCAAGTTGAATATGAGCCAGCAGTGTGCCCTGGCAGCCAGGAGGGCCAACCGTGTCCTGGGGTGCATCAAGCACGGCATCGCTAGCAGGTCGAGGGAGGTGATTGTCCCGCTCTACTCTGCGCTGGTGCGGCCTCACCTCGAGTACTGTGTGCGGTTCTGGGCACCACAGTATAAAAAGGACATGAAACTGTTGGAGAGTGTCCAGAGGAGGGCTACGAAGATGGTGAAAGGCCTGGAGGGGAAGACGTACGAGGAACGGCTGAGGGCACTGGGCCTGTTCAGCCTGGAGAAGAGGAGGCTGAGGGGAGACCTCATCGCAGTCTACAACTTCCTCGTAAGGGGGTGTCGAGAGGCAGGAGACCTTTTCTCCATTAACACCAGCGACAGGACCCGCGGGAACGGAGTTAAGCTGAGGCAGGGGAAGTTTAGGCTGGACATCAGGAAGGGGTTCTTCACAGAGAGAGTGGTTGCACACTGGAACAGGCTCCCCAGGGAAGTGGTCACTGCACCGAGCCTGACTGAATTTAAGAAGAGATTGGACTGTGCACTTATTCACATGGTCTGAACTTGGGTAGACCTGTGCGGTGTCAAGAGTTGGACTTGATGATCCTTAAGGGTCCCTTCCAACTCAGGATATTCTATGATTCTATGATATATAAGGTGCATTTGTTGGAATGACATGTGTTAGGTGTATGACTACTGCTCTATCGTTGCCCATCTATCTTTACACTGTCAGTTTGTTTGGAGAAATGGAATTTAGCTCTCATGATGAAACTGTTTCTCACTTTTTGTACCTACTTCTTCTTCCCAGTTTATTTATCTTCATTAAACCTTAACATCATGCACTCAATTCATCAAATTGTAGTAACATAGAATATCCTGAATTGGAAGGGACCCACAAGGATCATCGAGTCCAACCCCTGGCTCCAAACGGAAACACACAGAAATCAGACTGTATGTCTGAGAGCATTGTCCAAATGCTTATTAAACTCCCACAGACTTGATGCCATGACCACTTTCCTGGGTAGCCTGTTCCACCCCTGTTCCCAGCCCGACCACCCACTCAGTGAAGGACCTTTTCATAGCATCTAACCTGATGAAGCTTCCATATTTGAGAAGTTGTGGTCAGCGGCTCAATGTTCAGGTGGAGATGAAGGGTGTTCCTCAGGGGTCAGTATTGGGACTGACACTATTTAACATCTTTGTTGGTGATATGGACAGTGAAATTGAATGCACTCAGCAGGTTTGCTGATGACACCAACCTGTGTGGTGTGGTTGACATGAGGGGAAGGGATGCAATCCAGAGGGACCTTGACAGGCTGAAGAGGCAGGCCTGTACAAAATTCATGAAGTTCAAGATCAATTGCAAGGTCCTACATCTGGATAAGGGCAATCACAAGCACAAATACAGGCTGCATGGAGAATGGATTGAAAGCAGCCCTGAGGAGAAGGACCTGGGGGTGTTGGTTGACATGAAGCTCAACAAACTGGCAATGTTCACTTGCAGCCCAGAAAGCCAACCAAATCCTGTGTTGGCCAAGGGAGATGATTCTCCCCTTTTCTACTCTTGTGAGACACCACCTGGAATATTGTGTTCAGTTTTGGGGCTCCCAGCACAAGAAGGACATGGAAATATTAAAATGAGTCCAGAATAGGACAGAAAGATGATCAAGGGGCTGGAGCAGTTCTACAAACAGAGGCTGAGGGAGTTAGGGTTGTTCAGCCTGGAGAAGAGAAGGCTCTGGGTAGACCTTATAGTGACCTTCCAATAGCTAAAGGGGCCTACAGAAAAGCACAAGACAGACTCTTTATCAGGGATTGTAGTGATAGGACAAGGATTAATGGTTTTAAAGTAAAAAAAGGTAGATTTAGATTAGATATAAAGAAGAAAATCTTTGCTCTAAGAGTGGTAAGACACTGGAAAGAGTTGCCCAGAAAATTTATGGAAAGCCCATCTCCCCGAAAGTGTTCAAGGCCAGGCTGGATAGGGCTTTGAGCAACCTGGTCTAGCAGGTAGTGTTCCTGTCCATAGAAAGAGGTGTTGGAATGAGAGTATCTTTAAAGTCTCTTCCAACGTAAACCCTTCTATAATTCTATGAACATCCCTGCTTGGCCAAGTCAACCTTCTGCCCCACCTTCTTGACTTCTGACATTTTGAAACTGACTATTTCTGTTCTCTTAAGAGGTGGTATTTAAAAATTCACCAGCACTGATGGATCTCAATGACTTCAATAGCAATTTCCCAGCAGAACTTACTAGGAACCTCAGCAGCCTGAAGTCTGCTCTCCCCATTTCCAGGGTTGAAGTTTTGGTGGCAGTTTTCCTCATATCACCAAAGACTTTATACTCTCCTGCTTCATGGTCACTGGGGCCAAGATGGAAACTGATAACTGCTTCACCCACAATACTGTCTCTGTTTACAAGCAACAAATCTAGAGGGGAACCTCTCCTAGTCAGCTCCCTCAGTACCTGTACCAAGAAGTTATCCTCAAAGGTGTTTCAGGAATCTCCTGCATCTATTTGTACCAGCTGTGTGTGTTTTCCCAGTTCATGTCTGGCAAGCTGAAATCACCCACAAGCACAAGAGTGGTTGACCTAGAGGAACCTCTTAGTTTCTTAAAGATTAATTCACTGGTCCTGTCATCCTGGCTTGGTGGTCTATAGTAGACTTCCACAATGACATCCACTTTACTTGCTTGTCTCTTAATCATTACCCAGAGACTCTCAACAGTGTCATTGCCAGCTGCAATCTCTATACAGTCTAGCCTCTCCATTACACACAGCACCAGCACTCCACCTTGCCTGCTCTGCCTGTCCCATCTGAAGAGCCTGTCCATTGTAACACACCAGTCACAGGACTCTTCCCACCAGTTTTCAGTACCACTGATGTTTTAGCTCTGGCACTGACGCAAGGCTTTTAACTCCTCTTGCTTGTTCCTAATGCACTACACATACAGACTGTAGTATCAAACTTAAAAATAGATTATAAAGGCAACCATAACAAGGCAATATACTCAAAAGACAGAAAAGCAGAGATGGCCAAAAGATAACAACTGTTAATTTGGAAATTCACAGCCATTTTGTGGGATTTGTGATATTTCTGGATTCCATCAATGATGGTATTGTGCTGGAAACTAAGCTATACAATAATTGGAAGCAACCAAAATCATGGCTGTACTTCTGAAAACAAAAGCCAATTTGTATTCAACTGTACAACGCAGACATTTTGAATAATTTTTGGAGATTTTTAAAATCTGAAAAAAAAATTGTGACCTTAAGGCAGCATACATTTTTGTACTCAGCTCTGGTGAAGCTGAATACGGTGTTTGGGCCCCTTACTACAAGAAGTAAGTAGGTACATCAGGGTACTGGAATGTGTCCAAAGAAGGGCAATGAAGCTGCTGAAGGGTCTAGAGAACAAGTCTTATGAGGAATAGCTGAGGGAGCTGTGTTTGTTTAGCCTGGAGGACAAGAGGCTCAGGGAATACCTTATCATGCTGTACAATTACCTTAAAGGAAGCTACCACAAGGTGGGAATCAATCTCTTCTCTCAAGCACGAACTGATAAGATAAGAGGAAATGACCTTAAGTTGCACCAGGGGAGGTTTAGGTTGGATATTAGGAAAAATTTATTCACTGAAAGGGTTGTGAAGTATTGGAATAAGCTGCCCGGGAAAGTGGTTGAGTCACTATACCTGGAGGTCTTCAAAAATGTCTAGATGTAGAGCTTAATGATATGGTGTCATAGTGGACTTGGCAGTGCTAAGTTAAAGGTTGGACTAGATGATCTTAGAATTCTTTTCCAATTTAAATAATTCTATTATTCTATAATTAACCACTGATAGTACGGAGAATATTGCTACACTGAACTTTTATAGCGGGAATAAGACATTCTTGCAGGCAAAATCTTGTAGCTATTCAGTGACATTTGTAGTGTATGGGTTTTAATTACTCCTTTGGTGCTCCAAAACTGTCAGCAGAACTGTGTATATTCCATCTTTAAGTACCACAATCAAATGCACATTCTATCAACAATACTGAGCATCCTATGATGAACCATAATATGAAGAACCAATGTGCGTACAAGCTGCAACCTACTGTACCTGGTGAATGAAGTGGAGGGGAGCACATCAGAACGACTCCTTGACCTTCACGTACAGACACAGCGCTTCTTGTCCGACCACTAAAATTCCCCAGATCTATTCAAAACAAAACACAAACACAAACAAAAACAGCATTTTAGTTACGGAAAAAAATAATAAACTTGAATATGGTGTTAAAGGAAAGCTATCAGACAATATATACATATAATTTAAAATATCTAATAGTATTTTTATTTCTTTTTTAAACATCCTGTTTGTGACTTTTTTTTTTTTTTCTTTTTAGACCTGTAGGAATCATTCATATACAGTGAAAAAAGAAACGAACGTGGAGAGAACACCTTGTCCAACATCCAGACTAATGACTGTTATTAACATGTCATCTGGAGAGTGCACAAAGCATTGTAATGATTAGACACGAATATCAGCTAAATAGGTGCTAAACCCAAATCTTGTCCATAGCTTTATTCTTCTTAAACACATTTCTACTGGTTTCTTCAGTGTTGTAAGCATAATCCAGTTGTGGGTAAATATATTTTCCCTCCATAAGTTTCCCTCCAGCAGGTGAATAAGGAATATTTCATTTTTCACACAAAAACTTTTGAATGAGGCTGTAGGGTGCTGTACTGAACAGTTCATTGTGTTTCTTTAAAGACCCTCAACAAGAATGTTCAAGTACTATATTTACCTCAGGGAACACTGGATCTTTATTCGCTTTTGAGGTGGATAGCTATGCTGTAGCATGCTTATCTGTAGCAGAACAAATATGGCAGTTCTGACATCACACTGATTCTTTCACCTTCATCATCCCCAGTGACAGCGATTCTATTAAAGCCTCTATTCACTCACAGATCTAGGTACGTTTATTTCTAACGTAGATCAAGGGGAAGATAACTGAGTTAGTGGTACCCACAGATATCTTTGAAAAGGACACAGAAGTTTCAGCAGACACAAAATGAGGTGTCTAAATAAAAACAGAATGAGCTTGGGCATCTCTCATGGACCTGTTCATTTCTGAGTGCAGACCAAGGTGCTGGTATGAGCTAAGCAGCACTGAGCAGTTTGATTAGGTTGAGCAGAATTATTACTTTCTTAACTACACTCAGTTTTCTGTCAAGTTCTGGAGCTCCACAACTTGTGCCATGCCTAGCAGGATATAAAATTGAAGTTCAACAATTTTCAGAAGTAATACAAATTGAACTTTGATGGTTTTTATAGTGTGGAATAGGTACAGTTTTAAGTAGAAAGTGAGTTATAATCTTTCAGAATGCCTATTCACATTTTTAGATGTCTTAGGCATAGGCAGAAGCCTAAAATTTAAATGTATCTAAATGTGCCAAAGACAGGGCACATTTAGATACGTTTAAATTGTATCTTTGGCACATAAATAAGTGTTCTTGTTCATTAATAATGTTTGGACAGGAAAAAGATGGATGGGCTTCAGAAACTATACAAAATTTTGCTATGCAATAGTTAATTAAATATTATTTTGTATTTTAGAAAAATACCATAATGGGTTATAATACAATCTGGTGTAATTACATTTAAAATGTCACCTAATGATTCTGCAGGAATGCAAATATAATTATTTTACATTTAGAAAGTAGAGGCTGGTATAGTCCTGCATAGGCAGTTGTTTTGTATGGGAGCACAACTTGCAGTGAAAAGTTTTCTTAGGAAATGTCTGGTTTCCATTGTCATGTGACTTAGGGACTATAACTTTATGTATGCTTGTGTTAAGTTCTGTATATTTCTAAAAGAAAGCAGATATATCAACAAATATTTTCTGCTATCTGTTAACAAACCAAAGTTTAACTTTTATTTTAGTGCACAGTTTAGGAATATAATAAACTTTTAAAATGTCTTATTGCTAAGTCCTTGTAAAAACAGTGTGTGTCCTCAAAGATCTTTTTCAAGGGCAATTTTTCAGGTGAGAAGAATGTCACTGAATTTCCATAAAATTATTCTTTTAGCCCTCCTTCTCAGAAAAATGTGATGAATCTTCTCCGTATTAGTGCCTTAAACCATGCTGTTTGATTTGCTCATGTGCTTTCAAGGTTCCAGACTGTATTCATGAACAGATCTCACTGAATTTAAAACATAAACAAAACTCAAATTGATATGTCATGGTTTCAACAAGTTTTGAGGAGATGTTCTGACACCAGACTTTCTTTCCTCTGGGAGAAACATGTAAGCCATCTATCTATATGTTGGAATAGATACTATCACAGTAATGCTTCCTTTTGAAGCATTGAGAGAAAAACAAAAAAAAACAAATCAAAAAATTAACACTATTTTGTATTTCTCTGACACCAGATAAGAGCATTAGCACTACTGACTACCTGAAACTCATACTGCAAATACTGCTATATGCATTCTGAAAATGAAAAGAAAAAAATAAATAAAACCACTTGGTACAATGAATTAAATAGCTAAACAAATATAAATATTGTCAGTTCAATAGTGAAAATTCATACCAGTATCAGGACAGATTCTCTACAATGTATATAAAGAGTGGAGGACAAGGAAGTGATTTTTTCTATTTCTAGGAAAACTTTCTGAGATTTATTTTCATAGACTATCTCTGTGATCTGTTGTATATGTGAAAATATCAGAGTTTTCAGAAATGTTCTGGTTTAAAATTAATGAACTTCAGTCTTTTGATTTCAATTCCAAAATCAATTTGAAATATCAAATTATTTTTCTACATGTCTGTAGTTTTGGAAAATATTTTTTAATTTCATGAAAAAAAAAAAAAGATAATTTAAGTGTTTCTTCTGGAAGCTATAACATTTTAATTTCAGTGTGGAATCCTATGTCTCATGTGTTTATATATTCTCATCATTAACATTAAATTTTTACTTCCTATGATGCACAACCTGGAAATCTGTCACCATGAAATAGAGGAAATTTGTAAAATCTAAATTGTAACTTCCAGAGGCAAAGTAAAAGTTTAAATTAATTTCATTTTTACTAACATATATTTCTAATTGTTGCTATTATTTTCCTCAGATTAATAAATGTTATTTTTCAGTTGGCTATAGTCAAAGTAAGGAATTTTTTTGTTTGTTTGTTTTATTTTAATTTCCTCGTCTTCACACTGTGATGGGCATATATATATATATATATATATATATATATAAATCTTTTCTTTTTTATTTCCTTCTCTTTTCAACCAATTTCAAGGTTGGTTAATTTCAAACTAAAGAAGGAAGGAAATTGAAATGTTTGAATTTCATCTCTTTTTGGCTGTTAATTCAGAATTAGATTTCTTGTTAGTTTGTAGTTGGAAAAAGAAAGGATTCAAAGATATAAAAGTAGAGATTTAGTTGTAAAACAAATGAATATACAGAAGCTTAAAAGGAAGGACACAGGAAGGTTCATGCTTGCAGTTTCCCTGTGTTGAAATAATAAGTACAGCATGGAAGAATCAAATGAAAGAGAAATTTTATACATGTTCTGTAATCTCATACATTTCACATGTGGATATATTGGGGGGGAAAACAAACAAATAAATAAATGAGAGAGATACAGTTATTAAAAACACATTCAAAACCCTATCATTTCACTCTAAAAACTCTGAAAAGAAATAAAAGAAGAGAAAGAGTGAGGCAGAATACAGCTATCAGTTCTTACTACTTCTATATCTATTACTACAGCTATCAGTTCTTACTACATCATAACATCATTCTTACTACAGCATAAACTTCTAACTCTCTTTCAGACAGCCCCAAACAGAATGAACGTATCCTTCATATTATGATGATATACTTGGTTGGTTGATAAGAAAATGTGTTTTTTTTTTTTTTGTGCTCCACAAAAGTTTATTTTATGCCAAGAAAGATTAGATTTATTTACACTTACCTCAGTACTAGTGGCAAAGATAACACTTAATGTATTTTCAAAGCAGTTTCTGGGGTATTAGCTACCTGGCTTACATATTCTTTAACATGCTCACATGTGGCAATGGCAAAAAATTTGCCTCTGAAAAAGTCAGTCACCATTTCTAATGTGAAAATAGTATTAGCAACATATCTGCCAAAAATGCAAAGAACATTATAGGATGGAGTATGCATGTGGAGAGGAGGAGTATCACAATAATATTTTTGCTAAATAAATAAATAAGTAAATATTGCAATTCAATAAATCTTGTGCAGTGTCACTAGAGAATAACCTGTGACGTGGGAGTGGTCTCCACTATGGGAGAAAAAGAGTACAGAAATTCCAGATGTAGTGAACATCACAAGACGTTAAATCTAATGGTGTAACACTTTCTGGATGTCCTACTTCAGGTGTAAATAGTTCAGTGCATTCCTTGATCTTTGACAGAATTTATAAGTTTGGCAAAAGCATTCAAGTCTCTGTTACAAAACATCTCCTGGAAGTATGTGTCTCTCTGCAGTGGCTACTCCTGTTCTTCTGAAAGGAGCTAAAATATGAGTTTCTGTCAGAACACAAATGTGTATTGATGTGCATTATGGGAGAGTGACATTCACTCCAGCAAGAGTATCTTTTTAAGGAAGACTAGCAGACAACAAAGCACTTCAGTGGAAAGTGAAAGGAGTAATGGAAAATAAATGAAAAAAATATCAAGGCAATCAAAGAAACAGAAAAGCAGTGCAGAACTAGGAGCAAAATAAACAACTAAATAAAGGAGGAAAAGGATCACTTACAAAGGGGATCTAGTAAGTATTTTTCCATTAGTAGATGATACATGTGTGGACAAGAATAGGAAAAGGAGAGTCAGTTACATTAAGATCTGTTAAGATAGCTTACATTGGCAGAACTCATACAAAAGCTGGAGTACCTTCAACTCTTTTTATCCTTCCAATTCATCTCCAGTGTGCTTTGCCTTTTGCATAGGGGGGATAATTAATTCCTGTGTTCATCAGTTGGGTGTTGCTGATGCAAACATTAAAAGGGCAGTTTTTTTGTGGCCCAGATAACTGTCCACTAATTGTTATAAAACTAAGATCAAGTTAAAAATTAAAAATAATCTTGTATTTGGGTGATTACTGCTTGGTGACCTCATGTGAAAGCTGTGGAGGGCTCTGTAGTTCATTATCAGTGACTTAAACCAATCAATTTACTTTTAAAGT